TCCAATATACCACACATAGACTACATGGTCCAACGATTTTTGCAGGGATATGCTGATGCTGTGCTTCTGAAGTTGTTTTGCTTCAAAGGCAATATTCTTGCTTTTGTCTTGTCTTCAACAAAAACGAGCAGCACAGCAGTAGCACGAGAAGAGCTGAGTGGCAAACGATCGTTTGTTTAGCAGCACGATAAGCGGTGAGAAGCAAACCGTCCCGTTTCTGCCTTAACCTCGTTTCTGCAATAGAAGTGTTTTGGAGAGTGTAAGAAAAAATGCTTAAATAAACAATAAACGCATTTTTTTACTTACTATTTCTGGTTCCGCTTACAGTAATGAGCACCCTCATTAAGTCTTTGTTCTATTTTCAAACAGTGTGACGCTTAAACAGCTGTTATAAGTGGTAATATTAATTTTCCCAACAAGTGTAGATACGTGGTTAAGGCAGAAACGGGACGAAACTATCGTTGGCTTTCCGGCTCGAACTCGATACCAGCGTTGCCGTTTTGGTCCAATTGGACCAAAATTGGTAGCTTCATTCTCCTTTGGTAGTTTAGTTGGTTTGATGAAGCTTTTGGTAGGCAAAAATGTTTTGAAAAGTCAATCAAAATGAGTATTAAAATTTGTTCACTTACTTTGCGTTTACACGCTGAAAACATTGCTTTCACTTGCTCACACGTATAAGTTTTCTTTGCTTTTTCCAAATTTTACTAAGCACACAATTTTCCGCAAACAAAAACTGACTTCCCAAAGCTATGATCGATCAGCTGTTGAAATTGAACAAAAATTTGCCTATCGTCTTGGAAGAAAAATTGGTGTTAGGCAATTTGCAAAGTGTGAGTGTATGCAAATTGAAACAAAATTTATTGAAATGCATAAAATCTCAAATTTTGTTTTTTTAAACATAAAATTTTTTTGATATGAATTGAATTAATCTCAAAGGTATTTTTACATACATTTATTACAAACGTTTTTTTACACAATACGTTAATTCTTTAATTTAAAAGCCCGAATTTGTTTTGTTTAGCTTTAAATATTGGTATGCATGGTTAACCAACACCGTAAACAATATTATACTGTAAATGTGTGTAGCTAAAAACCCCGTAAATTCAAGAAATTTCGTTTTAATGATGGACAAAAATTTGGGAGTTTGGAAATTGATTTGGTAGGCATTTTGGTACCTAAAACTAAACTCAAGTGGCAACACTGCTCGATACTTATCAGCAAATGAATTTTGCTTTTGCTTGCATATTGAAAAGCACGAAAACAAAAGTAAAAGCAATTGATTGGCTTTGGCAGCTCGTCAGTTGCTTCTGCTGTCATATTTGAAAAAATACGAATAGCTAGAGCTGCAAAACTATCGATGGCACTATCGATAGTATCGATAGTTTCAATTTGGGACCACTATCGATGAATGGTGGCCAATATCGCGATACTATCGGAAATCTTTTAACAACGCTTTTTTATTCCGTTATTCGATTCTGATAATTTCTTCTTCAAGAAAAATCTGTGTTGAGGTTCCTGCTGTATTCATATTCATCTTTAGGCAGTAAAAATTTATATACCGTGAATTCATAATTCTTTGTGCGATCGTATATAGTACTTTTATATACATATGTAATATATAAATGCAATGGAAGCGCTTTCACGAAACTCCCAGTGTAAGTAGTCTTGAGGACTAATTGAATTTTTTTACATTAACATGTGCACATAAACATATATGTATGTATGTACATTCTAGCCGGTGGCGACAATGAATCGACGTTGATAAGTAGCAGCGATTCCGAACAGCAAAGCAATCCTCCAAAAGTTATAAGAAAGCGTTCCTCTAAAGTTTGGATTCACTTTCAAAGATTGAAAGCAAGTAACTGTGCATGCGGAAAAATTTACAAGACAAGTGGAAATACTTCGAATCTGTATGACCACTTAAAACGAGCCCACCCAACGTTCCGGGAGACGCCAAGGCCAGCAAATACGTTGAGTGCATTTTTTAAGGACTCATACGACACAACTTCCATACGTAAGCAACTTTTGGATAGTGCCTTAATGCGTAGGATTGCCTTGGACGTACAACCTTTTTCCATCGTGCAAGACAAAGGGTTTCCACAGTTCGTGAAATGTCTTGATCCGCGCTATACACTTCCCTCGCGCCCAACGCTACAAAACGTGCATATGAACAATATGTACAGCGATTTGAAAAAAAACTTGAAAACAATTGTTAACACAATTGATAACTGCCCAATAACAACGGACTGTTGGACATCACGTGCCAACGAGGGGTACCTCACAGTTACCAGCAATTTCATTACGAAAGAATGCGAACTACGTGCAGCAGTATTATCAACAAATGGACTCCTTGTTGGTACTAATCACTCCGCAGAAAACATAGCATCATCCCTACGGGCAGTGCTCGAAGAATGGGGCTTACTGGAAAAGGTATCCACAATTCTAACAGACAATGCAAACGCCATGTTAAAAGCGTGTGAGTTATTGCAGAAAAGGCACCTTCCCTGTTTTGCGCATTCACTCAACCTTGTTGTTCAAGACTGTTTGTCTCAGCCATTTGTAAGAGGTGTTTTAATCAAATGTAAGCGGATTGTAACTTACTTCAAAAGTAGCACTATTGCCTATGAGAAGTTTCGAGTGGCTCAAGGATGTGATAAGGCGTACAGCTTAGTACAGGAAGTACCCACACGGTGGAACAGTGCGTATGGAATGATAGAAAGAATTTTGTTGACAAACGGAGCAATTTCTTCTGTACTTCTAAGTTTATCGAAAGCTCCTGACCCATTGATGGCGGATGAAGTTGAAATCCTGAAAGATCTTAAAGAGTTGCTTTTGCCACTTGACACAGCAACCGTGCAGTCATCCTCAAATAATGCTGTAACTATCTCATCAATAATACCTCTGGTAAATCGACTCCTTCAAAGTATGAAAGAATTGAAAACTAGCATGAAGTCAGAAGAAGCGATTGTTTTCCTACGAGGAGCGCTCAGTGACTAGGCTCGCAACAATCTTAGATCCCAGATTTGAGAAATAAAAATTCCGCTCGCCGCATAATTCAGATCAAGCAATAAAATTGTCAACTCCTGATCCCAACGAAATGTCAGAGCTGTCAGTAGACCCTTCATCCTCTCGTCGTCAGGGAACCCAAAGACCACCACTGTTTAAATTCCTACATGAAAATATAGACAACAAAGTCAGAACGCATAGAGTTGATGCCATCGTTAGTTTACGTCAATACTTCGAAAACCTCAATGCACCAGATGAAAGTGATCCTTTAGAGTATTGGAAGGTAATAATTACAATAAATAATAAGATATATTTATAACGTATCTACATATGTATGTAATTTTTTCCTTACAGTGTAACTCAAACGGTTTGGACGCTCTCAAATCGTGTGCTACTCGTTATTTGTGTATACCTGCGACTTCTACGGAGTCTGAACGTATGTTCAGCAAAGCTGGAAACATAGTATCGGATAGGCGTTCTTGTTTAAAGCATACAGTTGTTGACAAATTATTGTTTATTAACAAAAATTGTGGGCTAGCTGAGAAGCAATAGCTTTCACCCCAGTATCATATAGTTGAAAGAATTTCTGACGATTTGGCTTCTCGAAATTTTGATGAAACTCGGTCGAATTTTCCTCATTAGCCAAAAATTTCTACCGTTGTTATGCTTTTTTACACTTTTGGCTGATAAAAGCGAAGGCCTTGATCTCATAAAAATGACTTACTAATGAATGAATTAAAATGTATTGTTTTTGTTGTTTAAAATAAATAATTTTGTTATTTTTAATAAAGCACACTATAAATGTGTTGAAAACTAGCAATCATGTTTAGTATTGCCATATTCAATATAACGAGTGCCGTAGTAAAGATCTATACTTTTTTCTTAATGTTATGTAACTTTTCACCGATAGTATCGATACTATCGAATGGTGAGAGTATATCCTGTGATACGACAAAACCAAGTAACTTGTCTTTTGTAAAATGCAGAAAAATCAATGTTTTTTGTGTAACTAATTTAGGTTTTTTATATCTTTTTGGTACCTTGTTGTATTTCCATTTTACTTTAGAAAAAAGGTTGTTTTTCAAGAATTCGAAAATAGAAAGCAAAATTTTTAAGTTTATGTATTTAAATTTAAATATTTAAAAAAATTTAAAAATTGCAATAAACAATTAATCTTGTTCCTCATCCGGGTGTTGAAAGAGTGGCAGATTGTCTAAAGCAGCTTCGAGGAAGTTCGGATTCAGCTTTACTAGCAATATGTTTTCCAAGGTTTCCCCGCTTAAACGATTCCTGGAGTCCGTTAGTATTAGCTTCAGCATGGAAAATGCACGTTCAATCCTCACCTGTTTTGTGAAAAGACCAATAAAATTTATTTTATTTATTATATTTAATTATTTTATTTATTTATTTATTCAATAAATAAATTAAATAAACTAAAAGGAACTCATAAAAACTTCAAAAATAAGACTTGTAAAATATATATACACATACATATTATATGTATTAGACTGTGTCAACTAAAACGAATGCGGTACAAAAATGTTTTCATTGCAAATTCTTATTTCTGCGAGCGCTAACTGAAAAATGAAGATGGAGGGCTGAAATTTTGCCGACATTATTTTTTTTGTAACTGACAACGAAATTTAGATATGGGACCGAAAGAAAAAACAATTCGTTTTATTTGACACAGTCTAATACATACATATGTATATACAATGGTTGAAATAATTATAGCCGCACCATATTTTGATAAGTTTTAACATATTATATTTGTTGTTATTTAATTTTGGTAATTTTTTTTAATATAGTTCATTCTTTCACAAAACCCGTGTAAATCAAAATTTCACACTTTGTGCAATATTAAAAAAAATTAACAAACTTTATTAAAAATTTCTAGTTTTTTAATTGGATTTCCTAGAAAGATTCGGAGTATGCAGTTTTTTAACACATTGAATTCTAGTAGAATAAAGTGCAAGTTTCAAATGGCTAAAAATTACCATTGATTTTTTTTATTTTTTTTTTTGTCGAAGATGTTACGGGTTTCTTCCATATAAAAATAAATTTTGTGTATGGAAGCAAATATGACAAAAAAAATTCTAAAAAATCTACTGTAATTTTTAGTCATTTGAAACTTGTACTTTGTTCTACTAGAATTCAATGGAAATCTAATTAAAAAAGCTAGAATTTTGTTTTTTTTTAATATGGAACAAAGTTGGAAACTTGGAGTTACACGGGTCTTGTTAAAGAATGAACTATATTTAAAAAAATAACCAATAACTACAATAATAAGAGGATTCACAAGACGTGTTAACCGTCGCAAAATCTTAAGCTTAACATTTTTTTATGTAAAACAACGGTTAAAATGGTTTTAGGATGGCTAATTATATATTTTTTTATCAGATTAAAAGCATTTCGGTGTAGTTAGAAATCCTTTAAAAGCATTTTAACCGTTATTTTACATAAAAAAAATGTTAAGCTTAAGATTTTACGACGTTAATACATCTTGTGAATCCCCTAAATATATTAAAACTTGACAAAATATGGTGCGGCTATAATTATTTATTATTATGATATATATACCTGAGTGGGTAGTATTGCAAAGCAGACATTGCTTAACGCGTACATCTCTGGATCAGTAAACTGCTTTTCCTTCCAAAATGTTAGAACGTTTGCGTCACTTCTTAGGATTGGAAGCTGCAGATTTTTAATTTTTGTATGTACATCGGTAGCAGTACCAACGTTAGCTTCAATACCTTGCGATAAATATTCGTTTAGTAATTCATCCTCAACATCAAAAAATTGGTTGGTTGTTTGATTTGCACTTGAATTCGGAGTTGAACTCGCAATGCCGCCAGGGCTAGTTTCATTAATTCTATCCCATATTGTTTTTAAATATTGTGTTGCTTCAATTTTTTGGTTCGCCGTTAGGGTGTGATGGAACCGAGGATCCAAATAACGGGTGATTTTTTTGAGGTTAGGATTTTCATGCATTAGTATTTGACAGATCACGTGGGATTTCAGACATGGTGTCAAAGAGAAAGATGCTCAGTATGCTTTGACATTTCATCATGAATAGACTTACTAACGAGCAACGCTTGCAAATCATTGAATTTTATTACCAAAATCAGTGTTCGGTTCGAAATGTGTTTCGCGCTTTACGTCCGATTTATGGTCTACATAATCGACCAAGTGAGCAAACAATTAATGCGATTGTGACCAAGTTTCGCACTCAGTTTACTTTATTGGACATTAAACCAACCACACGAATGCGTACAGTGCGTACAGAAGAGAATATTGCGTCTGTTTCTGAGAGTGTTGCTGAAGACCGTGAAATGTCGATTCGTCGCCGTTCGCAGCAATTGGGTTTGTGTTATTCGAGCACATGGAAGATTTTACGCAAAGATCTTGGTGTAAAACCGTATAAAATACAGCTCGTGCAAGAACTGAAGCCGAACGATCTGCCACAACGTCGAATTTTCAGTGAATGGGCCCTAGAAAAGTTGGCAGAAAATCCGCTTTTTTATCGACAAATTTTGTTCAGCGATGAGGCTCATTTCTGGTTGAATGGCTTCGTAAATAAGCAAAATTGCCGCATTTGGAGTGAAGAGCAACCAGAAGCCGTTCAAGAACTGCCCATGCATCCCGAAAAATGCACTGTTTGGTGTGGTTTGTACGCTGGTGGAATCATTGGACCGTATTTTTTCAAAGATGCTGTTGGACGCAACGTTACGGTGAATGGCGATCGCTATCGTTCGATGCTAACAAACTTTTTGTTGCCAAAAATGGAAGAACTGAACTTGGTTGACATGTGGTTTCAACAAGATGGCGCTACATGCCACACAGCTCGCGATTCTATGGCCATTTTGAGGGAAAACTTCGGAGAACAATTCATCTCAAGAAATGGACCGGTAAGTTGGCCACCAAGATCATGCGATTTGACGCCTTTAGACTATTTTTTGTGGGGCTACGTCAAGTCTAAAGTCTACAGAAATAAGCCAGCAACTATTCCAGCTTTGGAAGACAACATTTCCGAAGAAATTCGGGCTATTCCGGCCGAAATGCTCGAAAAAGTTGCCCAAAATTGGACTTTCCGAATGGACCACCTAAGACGCAGCCGCGGTCAACATTTAAATGAAATTATCTTCAAAAAGTAAATGTCATGGACCAATCTAACGTTTCAAATAAAGAACCGATGAGATTTTGCAAATTTTATGCGTTTTTTTAAAAAAAAAAGTTATCAAGCTCTTAAAAAATCACCCGTTACAAACATGAAATCAAACTGTTATTACGCATTAAGGTGTTTGTTCTTTTTTCGAAGGGCTGCAATATCATATCACTAATTGTTTTAATTAGTGGGTGGTTCGTATCTTTAATAATTTTTACCGTGCATATTTTGCATTTGAGCCATTGTGCGTAGAAATTACCATAGTGAAATTGCTCTTCTTGAAATATTTTTATTGTTTTTTGCAATGGACTAAATACGAGGCAATAGCTGTCGATGAATTCACAAAAGGAGTCATCATACTCGAAATTTTCGTCTTGGGTGTTATGTTTAACGGACTCGATTTTTGTTAGAACGTCTTTTGCTGCCTTCAAATTTTCTACCATTGTGAAGGTCGATCACCATCTTGTTGGACGGTCTAGTTGCGGCATCTTCAATTGCTTCAATTCAAAAATATCTCGATATCCGTTTGTTTTTCTTACATATTTTGTCAAATTACGGGATGCTAATAAGTACTTTGTTATAGCTGAGGATTTTGTCACGTCAAGAGCACAAAGTTGCACAGTATGAGCTGCACAGCGGCAAACTCGAATGTTGCCCAATATCATATCTGGTATTTCCTCCAAAAGTTCAATTTTTTTGAGATATTCATCATTTGGGCAGTCTGCTTCTTCCGATTCTTCTTCGGAAACAAAAGATAATATTTTAGTTGCTTTGAGCATATTTGCGCCATTATCCGACGTAACTGAAACTATCTGTCTTAAAGCAATGTTATATTTTTTTAAGATTTTTATAATTTCGGTGGCTAGGTTTTTGCTTGTACTCGTTCCAGCACACCTCAATTCTGTCATCCCTAAGATGCGTGATTTTATCAGCCCATTACTTATAAATTGAGCGCTAATGCCAAAAATGTTTCATCATAACCGCGTAGCACTGTCGATTTTTAATGAGAACAATCTTTTTTTACTTCAGCGCTTATGTCGTTTCGTACATTGTTTGCAACTAATTGCAACGTATTCTTGCAGTTGGACCCATTCAAACATATTTGTTTTCCGTCTGTGGCTTTAAAGCCTTCACAAATGGGACTTAAAATATTTCTCATATTAGGCGAATTTAATATATTCAAAGGAATAGAATCTTCGGTGACAAGACCAATAAATAAACGCAGTAGCTGCTTTTTGTTAATTTCAATTTTAATTTTCTTTTTGCGTATCACTTTTGATAAAGAACTTGTTCTTGAAGTTTCGGAAGTTTCGACAGTATTTACATTGTGTAGTTTCAGTAAGTGTGCTTTTAGATTTGCAATTCTATTGTTTTTAAGTTTATTTTTACATGTAGCAAAACCGTCGTTTTCATTATTATCAAAAAACTTCCAAATTTCATTTTGCTTATTTCGCGCCATTGCCGTTAAAAACACTAATAGCCACCGATCTGTTTGACACACATTCACAAACTGAAGCAATTAAAAAGCAGAATCAATGACAAAGGAAATACATTCATAGCTTAAAACAGTCGACGGCGACAGTTACAATATTTGCCGAAACGAAAATTATGTGCTGCTTCAACTTCGGAATTCGCCAAAAGTTGCAGTTAGTCAAACTGAAAACTGTCGGTGCTTTTGATTGGAGAAGTGCTTCGCAGTCTTTCAGCGATCAAATTTTGCTTTTTGTTCGACTGCGACTGATGCATGTGAATGCTGATGGCTTGTGAAAGCAGAACTCCTGTTTCATCGACTGCAGCTGTTGACGACCAGTGATCGGACTTGAAAAAAAATTTGTGTGGTAGAATCGGGAAAAAAACTTTGATCAAACTTTGTACAAAAATTTAAAAAATTCTGCGAAGTTTCACCTAAATTGCAAACCTTTTAATTAGAATCTAAAAAAAATTAATTTTAGTATAATAAATTGCAAGATTGATGTTGCTAAAAATTGCGTTGAGTTTTGACAATTTTTTTCCTTGGCAATGTAAAACAGTTCCTTCTATATCAAGATATTTTGCGAACATATTTTGAAATATTTCTGCAACCTTGCGGAGTGCTGCCAGCTTTTTTTTACCACATCACGATGTAGCGAACAAATGTGGCACGTTCCAGAAACCGCTACTTGGGATTTGCCAATTTTGACAATTCTCAAGCAAAAGTAAACAACGCTTTAGAAACTTTAGATGCACTGAAATTCGCTAATACTTTCACAAAAATCGCCATTTTTTAACATTTTCGCTATTAATTCTTTTTTATAAATCATATATTTTGCGATTTAACACAATAAAACCACGTTTCCTGTCGAAAAATTAAATATTGAGAAAATTTACTATTTTACGGTTTATTTTATCCTCCCATTCTGCCTGTTGTTAGTGTTTAGTGTTGGACAATTTTTGCTCTTAAAGTTAAGAAAATTATGTCGAGCAAAAGTAAAACTTCTCAAAAACACGAATATGTGGTAGATTTCAGACCTTGTGTGGTAGATGCTCAAAAAAGTGGAAGATCTACCACAATGTGGTAGAAGTCCGATCACTGTTGACGACTTGCAAAAGCAGAGATATTGCTTTTGCTTTGACTTGTGCTACTGGTCAAAATCATAAGCAAGCAAATTGAAATTTTTTCAAACCGATGGCTGCCGAAGGTGACGCGCATTTTATTAGTAATTGTTTTCGGCGTTAGCTTCAACTGAAGCTGCCATTATTTCGAGGAGCACAAGAACAAGCAAAAGCAAATGAAATAAAACTTATTGCAGTTTTTTAAACACTGTTCCTCACAACTAGCCTGCCAACATGCTCTTGGCGCCAGCAGAGAGTAAAGCAATTGAATGGTAGACGCGCTATAAATACATACATACATACATACATTCGAGACGATAAAGCTGAAATTAGTCAAGAACGTAAACCTACCGGTACGTAAACCCGAGTCAGCTGACACGATCTGTCTTACCAAAGCGCCATGTAAATGAAAACTCAACATCGCAGAATTTTTCTGTAGTTTTAGCCCGTAGCGCAGAAATCTGCGGAATTTAGATTTTTCCGTGTCAGCTGATTTCTCTTTCTTTAGATGGTTGCCACTTCGTCAGTTTTACAGATGGTAAAAAAGATATAAGTTCCTATTCAAAATATGTTTAAAATATTTGAAATTTACTATTGAATAAGGTTTTTGTTGAAAACTATGTAGTTTATATTTAGCTAAAATCTATTATAGCCATATATGTAATACTCCTATATTGGCAGTAAGAGCTAGTACCGTCCGAAAACACTACAGTACAGATATATCAATAAACACGTACGAAAGAAAAGGAACACATACGTTTATACACAACGCATATACAAAAACTGTACTCAAGTACACAATACATTGACAAAAACGGTACTAGACTGTCTCATTGAGAAGTTAGCTTACTGCCAATATAGAAGTATTACATATATGATTATAGCACGAAAAATTGTAGTTGAAAGGGTAAGTTTATGAAAAGGCATTGACGAGTGGCAACAGTGTAGTAAACAACACTGATGGCTCCAGTAATCGACAAAATTCTGCGTATACAGACTGCGTTTAAGTATACGTTCTGCGTTCTCGACTAATTTCAGCTTAAATTAAAGCTCTAACAGTCAACGACGTAACGTAGACGTAGGTTGACGCAGACACGATCTACCTTATGGGATTCGCGTGAAAGCGAAAACTCACCACCGCATGGCGGTGACGTTGACGTTGCTTCTCTCTCTCTCTATCAATAATAAATTTGATATGCTGTTACGTACGCCAAACTACGTTTACGCTACGTCATTGACTAACTGCGCTTTTAC